ATTTGTTGAATATGTTAATATGTAGAACTACAGGGGTTAAAAACACAAATTGAATTTAAAGCTTGCTAGATGTTTCTCAAATGTTAATCTCTGTACAGAGTTCTCCTCAACTGGAACTTCTCCCAATTAACCTTCATCTAAAAATACAATGTTTAAGAGACAAGTAAAAATGTGCTAACTGAAGTTGTAAGGTGTGTAAAATGTAAACATCTGAACCTGAAGTTACTTAATTAGGATTCAGACCCATAAGAAAACAAACAAAACAACACATCTTTCAGAAAGGAGTTTTACAACTGACATTTTTAGAATTGTTGACTTTTGGGAAATGCAGATGGCTTTTAGTCAGTTTTATTATTTTTTTAAGTGCTTCACAGTGCATTCCTTTACTCTTTAGCTTAGAAACTTGTGGTGACTAAGATAACAAACAGCTTTCACTACATTCTGACAAGTATCAATGTTATGTGGTAAACAGAATATGAAGACAAACATTGTAAGTATTTTTATTTGTTCTTACTTTTCTTCATTTTAATGAGGGATGTTTTTAAAGTATATTTATTTGCAGACAGTTTGTAAGCTTTTTGGCTGAAATCTTATTTTGGGGTTATTCATTTAAAGTATGACCTTTTAAGTACAACTATGCTTTTAAAGAAATATGGTGTAAAAAGCTGTATCTGATGCTTTTTTACTCAGATGAGCTACAAAATGAATGAAAGTTCCAAAGGGAAGAGTAAAAGAGTAGAAATTATAAAGTTTAGAATCATAAATTACTGACAATTTACCTTTTCTAAAGTGATTATCCATACACATTCATGTTTGACAAAGCAATAGGCATTTAAATTACTGGTAAAACACAATAGTAAATGCAAAGTATGGCGTATTGATCCTAATTAGGGCAATTACAGTTTAAGATTTACAGTCTTAGGTCCAAAAAAGTTATTTTTACTTTTCAGCTAACTTCAACTTTAAAACTATTTTGAATCAATCTATTAGTAAATACCAAACCCATTTTCTTCAATTTCTGAAATCATATAGGGCACACTTTTCATCCATATTGTGAAACCATTTATAAAATTTCTATAGCCATTTATAAGATTAATAATCATTTACCAGAAAATACCTGTACACTCCTTCCCCCTCTACCAAAACACAAGGCTACACATTTCACCACAAATGTTTATGATAAATCTCTCAGATTTATTTTAGGAACAAGAAGGCAATATTTACCATGTCCCTCAGTTTTATACTAGCAATAAAATTACATTGCAGTCTCCAACATGACCTTCACTTAATAGCTGAAAAAAACAATCAAACTCTCTCATAAGTGGGAAAAATATTTCTCTGCTTTATGTCACAAACAGCCTAAGTTAAAGTTAAAAATAACTTACTTTAAGTAACTTTTATATTGATTCTGATTGAGCATTCTTACTTTAAGCCATTACACGTAGATTTTTGGTCTAAATCTATACCAATGCATTAAATATCTTGAAGTAAATTCATGAAATCCCTAAATCTTCATTCTGGTGGGAGAGTTCTATTTCTCATACACAAAAAGTTAAATATATTTTACATATACAATAAACACAAACTTATATTTAAATATATATATATCCAAATATTATTAAAAAGAAAAGACTTCCTATCATTTCTGAAAGTTTTCTTTTCCATGCCTTCAGCTAACATCCTTATTAATAAGATGTTAAATTCTCAGTGAAGTCCATGTCACAGTTTTTCATTTCATTTCCTACTCTGAACCAGTAATTCCTAGCATTCTTTAGCAATAATCTTGACCAGGTTTTTGGTTTGATTTTTACTCTCAGATGTGACCTTTTGTCAATTAGAATCTTACAGAGAACTGTGCTATGCCAAAACAGTAAAGTCATAACCTCTATCATTAAGGTGTTGTGGTGAAGGGGTACAATTCCATCAGACCTCTGATACTTTCACTTCCCTTACAGACTAAATGATTGTGTACCTCCAAATTCACATGGAAATCCTAACCCCCATGTGATGATGGTATTTGGGGGTGGGGATGTGGGGAGGTGATTAGGATTAGATGAGGTCATAAAGGTAGGGCCTTATGGTGGGATTAGTGCCCTTATAAGAAGAATAAGGGACAAGAGAACTCCCCCTCCCACCATGGGGGTTGGGTCTTCCACATACTAACCTTTGGGGGGACACAATTCAGTCCATAGAAATATCCTTAATATTTCAAGGTAAATGGTGTTTTGTATGGCAGCATAGCAGCCTAAAATACCAAGCGAAGAACTATTTCTTTAATAGACAATAAAGAAGACCATCCATTCTACAGAACTTTTTTTTTTTTTTAACTTCATTCACACTGGCTATCAACACAGAGACACTCATCCTATAACATACAATTTTATTGGGGACCATAATCTAGTAACACTAAAGCAATGGTTCTCAACTGGGGGAAATTTTGTCCTTGTGGATTATTTGAAATGTGTGGAAGGTACTACTGGAGAGAGAACAGAGGGCAGGGATACTGTTATATATCCTGCAGTGCTCAGAACTTACAACAAACAATAATCTGGTACCAAATGTCAAGAGCACTGCTATTGGAAAACCCTGCTCTAAAGATAGTAACTCCAACCTTGCATTTAAAAACCTTTCTTTTGCATCAACCCCACATTGCCCCAACTAACTTAATACTCCTGAAACTACCAAAGTGAGGCCTGAGTAAGTAAACAATTATACAAAAAAATAAGTTTATTATTAAGTTGAAAATAATCTTTTCTTGATCTAATTATATCTAAATTTGATTTGTAAGGTTTACAAAATTCTTGTAATAGCAGTGGTTAAAATGAAAAATCCAAGATAAACAATAGAAAACTACCTCCAAATTACCGATCTATTATAACATATTATAATAGAATACAGCTAAATTGGTTTCTAAAATGTTTTAAAATTTTCAAATTTAGATAGGTAATGTATAAAGGTGAAGCTTAATGTTCATCTTGTCAAAATGTCACAAGTTATTTGTTATATGGATCAAAAGTGTCACAAATTAATTTTTAATGGATCCAAGTGGGTTATGTTGCTTTTATGGGGTTGTACCCCTCCTATATGCTCCAAATCCAGTTTTAATGATGGGTTTTTCTTTTTAGCAACGTCCCTTCTTCCTTAAATCCCCACATCACTTATGCTTTCTTCTTTAGCTATAGTCTTCTTTAATAAAACCAACTTTGTTTTCACAAGTTTAACATTTTCCTGTTTAAATATCCAAGATGATAATGCAAAGCACATAGCAAAAAAAAATGAAAATAATACCTTGATTGTTACCTGGTAAATTTTAGAGGCTAATTAGTCATTTCGGGTCATTCAAGTTAAAAAGAAAAAAATAAAATCAAGAAAAAAACAGAAACAAAATGCTTGAATGTCATTTTACTAAATCAGCCAACAGAAAACTTTCTTTCTTGGAGGGAGGGGTACTGAGTTGCTTTAAGACTAGAACTATGTAATATAGTCTTTCAAAGTAAGCATTTTCTTTCTAATTTCATTCAACAAATGAAGGTCTGATGTCTTGTATGTGCTGTTTTAAATCTGACACTACTAATGTTCAGGGGGAGAGAAATGAATGCTTCTTTCTGAGTTAATCCTCCAAAAATAAGCATTCTCTGACAAAGTGAATGGTAGATTTTCTGTTTTGTTAAAACTGGTGATTCTATGCATCTTTACTATTAATCTACATGATTTTTATTCAACTCAGATTTTTTGTATCCCACATAAACAAAGCTTGATTACTAACATATATCTATAGTGTTATATTAAATATAGAAATGTCTTCCTACTGTAATAAATAAAATTTATAATAAATCAATTACTTATTTACAGAAAGTTATTCCCAGAAATGTAAGACATGTTCCTTTTGTCTGTAGTACTGTTGCTATTTTAAATACTGGTTTATAGGTTTTCTACAGCAGCAATAATATGCTCATAAAGCCAATAATCAGCATCAAAGGAATCATACCATAGTCTAAATAAAGGTCAAATTTCAGTAAAAACACTGTCCATTGCCAAGAACAAATAAAATATGCCCTAAATTTGTCTGCTCTCTCACTAATATGTTAAGAACTCTCAGAAGCTTGATGGTCTATAAAATCTGTTTTGTCATTTAATTGTATCAGATAATTATGTAATATATCATTGTTAATGTAGTCAATTCTGACATCATAAAGAACTATTGACTAGGATTTGTTTTTTTTTTTTATCTTGATAATGAGTCAGGCTCTCCTACTGTGTAGTGTTTCTTCATTTTATTGGCATTGTTAAGAACTCTTTAAAATTCCTTTCTCATTCTTATCTTACGGATCACTTTTTATTAAACTCAGTGAATTTTATTGCAAAATATTGTTGATATACAAGTTGAAAACACATACTTAGAAAAGTAATGCACATTGCTATTCTTATTACCTACCAAATGTGTTTTCAGATTATAAAACTTTAACTTAAGACTTTTATGATGTCACATTTTAAAACACCCTGAAAACACCAACTATAAAGATGTAATACTTTGTGTAATTTTTATATAGTATAGATATTACATAAATTAAAAATCTCATTAAGTTAATACCTTTTTGGTAGCTTTGTGAAAATAAAAAGTAAAATCTATTTTTTGTTTAAGATTTCTGAGTACTTTCCTTCATATTACATGATTATATCTCTAGGTAGTGTAGTCTGAAGTTAAATCACACAGTTTACAAAATAAAATATGGCCTTAGTCTCTACAATTTTTAATAAATCCAACTAGAACATGTAGCCTTGGTTTAGGGATCTGTTTCTGGAATTACACAAAGTTCAATATAGATTATAGACCATCCTATTTTTCAGACTTTGAAATAATCATTGCTATAGGACTATAAAATTGATAATGAATCTGATTTAAGCACTAACAGTTTCTAACGAAGAAGGCGTTGGATGGTTTACAGCAAATAACCTTGCAAGGAAAGTATACTTGTGGGCCAAGTATTTTTATCACTTACCAGCTCTTCCTGAAGTTGGGAGATGAGTTCATCCCGCTCTTTTAGCTGCAGCTTCAGCAGTGAGCATTCATCTTTCATTATATCCTATAAAAACATCAAAGAGACAGCATAATAGGCTTAGCCCTTTCACTTTGCTCTTGATAAGGAAAGTCAGCTTCACACAGTGGGAGATAATTCATATGACTAATGAAACTGAAATTTTCTCTACAGTGTGGTATTTTTCATAATATATTCTAAGTTGCAAAATAAACAAGCTAATGTATCTGAAGATATTATTCTATATATATATACACACTTTTTTTAAAAAATCAGTCTTTCTCTTTGATATTCATTTGTCCATTTTGTTGCCAATAACAGAAACTAGTGAATTATCCTAAATTCTTTCTTCCCATTCTTGTGCATACATAGTTGAGTAGAAAAAGGACTATACTTTAAAAGAGATAATTTTATCTACCATTTGTTCCCCTACTCTAATGAAATATTAATTCCCAAACCAGTTACCATGTTACAGCCTTTGTCTTTAAAGACATTTCTCTAATATTTCTCCCTTCCCCTAGAGCTCTATCTTTGGGCATTTAATCTTCTCACTGGTCAAGTACACTCAGGCACAGCCTCTGTGTACACAATACATCCATATCTAGGGCCTATATTACTGTATGCTGGTAACTCTCAGATAAAATTACTTAATCAAGACTCCTCCATCTTCCAAGCATCAGTCCACAAACAAAACTACTTATTGAGCATATACTCACATTGTCCCATAGACATTCCAGGGCAACTATCATCTCATCATTCCCCCTCTACCTGAAAACTTCACTTCTTCTTACTTCTCACACCTTCCTAGTTTCTAAAAATACCCAGGAAGCCATCCTATATTCTCAGTTTTTACTCACTCTGAACCAAATCTGATACCTCTCTCATCTCTATTTCTTTATTATGTCTTAGACTCACTCACTCTTCTCTAAACTCATTAATTTACTCTAGGTACTCATTGCTTCTTTCATGGCTTAATGCAGTTAAGTTTCTCAACTGGTTTTCTATCGCATTCCCAATCTGCCAGAGATATTTGCCTTAATGGGGATAAATTACATTCCTTCTTATTTAACAGCTGATCACCTCCTTCAGGAAAATAAAGAAGGCAACACTCTTTAGCACAGCATATAGTGCCTTTCGTTATCTGCTACTTGCTTATTTCTGGAGCTTCAAAGTTTTCATTTCCAACTTTCTTAACAACTTTCACTCATTCCTACAGAACTAAAACACAAGGTGTTTTATCTATCCTTGCTTTACACATACACAAGTCTGGATTATACAGTCTTCTACCCACAGCACCCCTCTCTTCCCCACAACTGTGCTTTTAGAGGCATTTCAGACATTGCACCTTATTCCACTAGAGAGGTTCCCCTTGTTGGCTGAGTAAGATGTCTCTTGGGACTAAGGGCATGCTCCATGGCATCTAAATCATACGTCATTTCATGCAATATTAATACTTTACACGCTGTTTGCTTATTCCCCAGCCTCTTTGGACCTTTCTCCCCCTCCACTTCAGCAAACAGACTATTTCATTAGCACCAAACACTGTAACTAATGTGTATAAGCTCAAAGCCAGATTTCCTTCCATAAAATCACCAAATAAGTAATATAAACATTAGAATTCCCACTTTTTCTGAATCTGTTAACTGAACTGGCAAGGAAAACAACAGCTAATGACTTAAAAACAACAACAACAACAGAATACTTGTTTATTTTGGTTTTCATGGTGTTAATAATTTCTACTTCCTCTAAACTAAGCAACGCCGAACACAGGATTTGGACTTACTAATTTCTTCCAGTTGTTTACAACCAGATTGACTGGGAGAGGCTAATTAGCCTCCTTTTGCAGTAGGCCTACTTCTTTCCTAAATCATGTTTTCATAGAGTTTACACTCATTGTTTTGAATATTTATTTTCATAGATTTTAAATATTAATGCAAAGAATGCTTAGCCTGCTCCACAATATAAAGGAAAAAAAAAAATAGCAAACTTAAGAGGTAGCTAAAAGAATAATCCTGCTTCTTAGAATCTGAGATCTAGGATCAAATTGTTGGGCTTTCAATTAACTAGTCCTGTGGATCTGTGCTAGTAACTTTTGTGTGGAGGTTGAAGATAACAGCAGACCATAAACTACCTGATGGCAAATACTGCACTGTACTAAAGTTATATTCCCAAAGCCTTGCATAATATCTCACTTAAGAAAAAATAATTCTTCTCATAAAATAAAATGTCACAGGTAAGTTCTTCAGGAAACAAATATTGAGGTGGAGTTAAGGGTGCAAATGGTTTATTAGAGATTAAACCCATGTAAAAAGAAAAGAAAAATCAGACTTGGGTAGGGAGATAGCTGGACCCAGATTCATACCTGACGAGTCCTCTGTCAGCCAAATGAAGAGATCCAGCGCCAAGAGCGCCTGTTAAGGAAATCACAGGTTGAGGGAAAGTGGGCAGGCCCTTATATCACTCCCTGTTCAGTCACTGACTGGGGGCTGTCTCAAGAGCGAGATCTCAGCTGCTGTTATTTATTCTTTGTTTCAGATCATCCACAGATGAGATTGACTTCAGCTAGAAAGAAGAGGCAGGCCCTTAGGGCATGAGCTAAGAGTAAAAGGCAATCGGCCAACCACAGGACTTGGAGCTGGGCAGTGAGTCCTTTACTGAAAGAAGATCTGGGCATCTGTCTGAATCTACTACAACTGTTTTTTATAGATTAATTATCAACAATATTTTTGTATGTGAATTAATTATTTTGTTGATTAATTAATTAATCAATTTAATCAAATTAATTAATTTAAAATGGAAGATTCACCTATATTGTGACTAACAGGAATCATAAAAAAAAATTGGTTTTTCAAAAATACACTCACTTTATACAATTCTCTCATTTTGTCCCTGGGGAACTTCTTCAAGAAATTCATAATCTCAGTTTTCAATCAGATAGGTGTACTATATCATTTACATTTACTTATGGAATAATGCATTAATTATTTATGTCATCAGAAGCCAATTTTTACAAAAACATTTATGATGACTATGCAATGAATCTTAGTTATTTAGAGTTTCATTTTTAGTTGTCATATATACATGTGTCAATATTCACAGAAGTATTTGTCTAATACATAAAATAAAATCCCTTGAACAACATTCTTAGCTTAAGACTAAGAGCAATATCCCCTCAATATTCTCACCATGTTTACAAATTTCTAGGATGTATTTGGCAGGATAATCTACTGAGTTAGAAATCATATTAATGTGTAGAATTAACTCAATTTTAACATTCTTGATTTTTCAAATAACCAGATGCCTGGGTAGCTCAGTTAGTTAAGCATCTGCCTTTGTCCCAGGTCATGATCTCAGGGTCCTGGGATCCAGTCCCACATCTGGCTCCCTGCTCAGTGGGGAGTTTGCTCCTCCCTCACCCTCTGATCCTAGCCCCTGCTCATGCCTGTTCGCTCTTTCTCTTAAATAAACAAAAGCTTAAAAAAAATTATTCCATTAACCTGTAGGCTAATGTAACCAATTTAACCTTGTACTTATTTAAAGATTTATTTATTTATTTGAGAGAGAAAGAGCACACAGCAGGGAGGGGCAGAAGGAGAGGGAGAAAGTGTCTTAAGCACACCCCCCACTCACTGTGTGGAGCCTGACACCGGGCTCAATTTCACAACCCTGAGATCATGACCTGAGCTGAAATCAAGAGTTTGGACTAAGCTTCTGCTTATTTAAATGTATATTATTCATTGATAGGAAACTACAGATTTTAATAATTATGACATTTTCTCATTTAAGCAGAATTAATTTTCAGGACTAAAATGCAATTCTATTTTTTTAAATTAAATTATTTCTAAATTCATTAATTATTCATAAATATGGAACTCACAGTGTGGTAGATTAAAGATAGCTACAAGTATTTTGTTACTATTCCTACTGAAAGATGAGGACAATGCTCTGTCCTTGGATCTAGGCTGGTTTTATTGTTTGACCATGAGGATACAATGGAATTAACTCTACATGACTTCCAGGACTAGATAAGAAAAAGCCTTTCAGATTCCACAACTGATCTCCTACGATGCTCCTTTCTCAGGAAGCCAACAGCCATGCCAAAAAGTAAAACCACATGTACTTCTGTTGACAGCCCCCTATGAGCTGTGAGAGGATACCCAGCTTCAATGGCCAGTCCTGAGAATGAGCCATTTTGCACATCTAGCCAAGTGGAGCTTTCAAGTGACCAAAGCCCACAACACTATCTGACCATAACTGCCCAAGTTGAATTATTCCCAAATTCCTGACCTGCAAACAGTGAACATTTAAAATTATTATTTTATACAATTAATTTTGGTGATGCACATGTGGACAAAAACTCCAAATTACTATAATTAGAATTATAGTTGTAAAAAATGTATGCAGCTAGTTTTTAAATAGAATTTTTTGTGATTTAATTTATGACTTTTGTGATTTAAGTTATAGTTTAAATAGTGCAATTGTCAAATAGCTCATTTCATGCATGAAAGGAAGATTTACAACCTCATTGCACAAGTTACTAGAGAAGCAGACATACAGATATAAAAGTAGTTTACAAATTATCTTATTCTTGTACTTTTATTTGATAAATTTGGAAAGTTAGAGCCAGATACACAGATATTCAGGTAATTTGTCCCAAATTCACTTAGCTGACTTCAATCCCATATATTCCATAATTTATTTTTGCCTAGAATTAGAACCAAATCATTGGGTCAGACTATTATATAAACAGAAATCAAATGCCAAAAAAAAAAAAGGCAAGTAGAATCCATAAATCATTTTGAAAATGATCTTATGCTGAAATTAGAAATACAGGTTAAAAAAAAATCACATAATTTCTAACTCACAGACCTTCAGATAATTCTGCAGGTAAAATTATTAATGTAATTCTGGGCTACTGTTTACAAACACATGTCAAAATTGGTATTAAGTCATCATGATTCTTTCTATTTATAGACCTCTGGAGGGCTTTACTTTATGATTTACAAGTTATTTCCTCATTCTTATAAACAAAAAGGTCAAAATATTTT